GCCACCCCCAGCCACCAGAGGGAGGAAGAGAGCCTCTCATCAGTGGCGCTGTGGCTTGCATGCTGGTCTTTCAACTAAGAGATTGGCAGTTCTACTCCCTTGCAGAAGTAAGAAGCCTTTGCAGAGACCCAACAGACCAAACCTTCAACCCATCCCACTTTGGCCCCTTTTACCAAGCCCTCTCAATCCGTGGCCTCAAGCCCATGAGTAGAGTTCTATCTGCTTGCTCCTGAGTGGTATGATGGGGACCTAGGGGGTTTCCCCTTCAATGTGTGCTTGCGTTTCAGCAGCAGCCTTTGAGGTTCCCCACTGAATGCTCCAAATTAGCTTACATCATCTTGCTACTCACAGATTGGGCCCCCTATCTGGGAAAATGAGCCTGTCACATGCGCCTCTTCAGACTTGCTTACGGCTGCGATGCACCATACATTTGACCACTTAGACTGCATAGTATTCTGAACAGACGAAACAGCCCATGCCGTTAAGGCTTGGTTCGGGACTGGTCACTCAGCATATCCGGCCTCTCATCAGTACATAGAGCAGATTTCGTTCCTGCCTTTTTAGGCCCCCAAGCTGCTTTCTTTAGGGGAAAGAAGGATGGCAGCCTACATGCCTGCACGGGGTACCAGGGCCTCAACAAAATAACAGTCAAGAACTACTACCCCCTGCTACTTATGAGTCTTTAAGGCACTGTAGTAAGTCTCAGCCTTTACTAAAATGAACTTGCGCAGTGCATATAATCTCATCAGGGTGTGGCAGGTTGACGAGTGGAAGATAGCATTCATAACCCCCTTGGGCCACGAGTGCCTCGTCACGCCCTGTGTGTTAATGAACACACCTGCTGTCTCTTCCAGCATTTCATTAATGAGGTACTGTGAGAAGCCCTGAATTGCCATTGCACGGCATAGGAGCTTGAGGGGGAGCATACGTGCCGCGACGTCCCTAAGCAGAAAGAAGGGCACTGTGGCAAACAATGCAGCAAACTTGAGCCAGCACAGAAAGGGAAGTCAGCTGGGAGGATCGGTGCTAGCTGTGGACCTCGGGTTGAGTACAGCATAAACTGCAGATAGCTCTTTGCTCTTGTCGACCTGGGCTCATCAAAATCCTTACTACAACCAGGCATGCTCACAGACACTGAGAGAGCAACATCAGATGGCTGGAAGGTGACCAACATCCAGCTCAGGTTAGTCATCAGCAGTGGAGCTGAGGCAAGGAGGAGTGTGGTGGCGGCTGCCAATTGCTCTGGTTCACAAGTCGCTCTAGAGGCGTGGTAAGCAGTGCTGTGCCACGCACCCCATCTCCTCCACCAAAGGGACATTTATTGTTGTATTTGTTGCTGTTAATGTTGTTTGATTGTTAGTTTAAGATGTGTTATGTGTTATTTGTGCTTTATTGTGTAGGGCTGTGGGATAGTTAGAGTGGGATAGTGGGTGTTAGAGGCTACCATTAAGTAAACAGGTGTGGCTAACAGAGACCTCCCCTGCTATTCCAGCTATATTCATGGGTCTTTTCTGCTGGTGTTAATAAAGAGCACTTTCGTAGCAGAAATCATGGACTGTACCGTGTCTCTTCCTTTGTCAAGATGCTACAATATGAAACAATCACAGATGTGCTATGACTGTTTTACAGTTTAGTAATTTTTTGTACACAAGGTATTTGACTAAGAAGTATAATACATAAATATATAGAAACCAAAGGAAAATCATTGAAATTCCAAATTAACCTTCACCTTTTTTGGGATATATTCTTTAATTTATTGCTGTTGAGGGATTTATTAGACATGTAATCTCTTGCAGAAACTCCCAACGAGTATCCAGTCTTGTTGCTTATCAAAATAAATGTACTGGACTGTGAGGATACATAAAATTTACAGAGACATTACCCCTGACATCTAATGTTTCCAGATTGGATTTTAACCACTGTTTCCCATCATGCCAACAAGCAATGTGCATACTTATGATAGTTACACATAGTTATGAGAGTGCCAAAACAGTCAATGGCACTAGTTTTCACTGCAACATTCCAGTTGCTGGAAAGACTGTGACGGTGACGAGAACATCAGGAGACAACACTTTTATATCACCCAGGCATTTTAAATATCAGTGACACCAGCAGCAGAAACCTCTCTCCATGCATACAGAGCTCCTGGAGGTCTGTACAGGGCCCTTTCTGAAGCCTGGTAGTATTCTACTTAATAAGTAGAATATTTCTGAAGCTCTACTTACTTCTTTATGTTGTGCTTGTTAGTACACATTTTTGGTATTATTTGACATTAGTGAGACATAACTGTCCTTATTCTGGAAATCCCTTTTTATACTTTTAGAATTGAATGAGAAACCTTTAGCAAAATGGGTTCTATATAGTAACAAAAATGATTCTATGACTTGTAACAAACAGCATAATTCCTTTAGGTGCTATAAAGAACCTTTTAGAACCATATAGAACCATATACAACAGATTTTCACCCATAGCGAAGAAACATTTAACCATGCAAAGAACCAGTTATGTATTCAAATGATCCTTCCATTGTTCTATTTATAATCCCTTGTTTAAGAGATTAAGAACAATACTGACTGAGTAAGATGCTAGCAGTTTATAGGGGTTAAAAAATAACCCAAACAAAAGGATTCTTTGTGGTGTCATAGTTCTGTATCTAACTGTTGTCTTTACTTTGACGAACCTTTGACGAAACCCTTTTTAAGGGTGTAGATGGAGGTGGAACTAGGTAAAACTAATGAGTATCAGTCTGCGCTTATGTTAATCTTTAGTTGATATGGATACTGTTTCTCAGTGCAGCGCCACAAGAGGGGTTTAAAAGTCCACTGTCTACTGTTATTCATCCTGGTACACTACAAACACACCATTCAAATTCACCACTGCACTACAAATGTGTCCTATTTATATTAATAAAATGTTACCTAAAAGTAGTATGGTAATAAATGAGATTTTACTATTTATACACATTAGATCAGTGTGCAAACACGTTTGTCCAGACTAACATTTTGCATTAGAGCACTCACAGCCTGGGTAACCATTATATTGTGCGATCTCTGCTGTATGGCAGTATAGAGCACATGGAATAACTGCAGCTTTTGGAGGAAAAGGTGGATATAGAGAGCAGGAAGGGTGGAGGATATGACCTCTTTTACAGCAGCCTTATCGCCATTGCTTCTGAACAGTGCCAAGGTTGAAAACTGTTAATGATCAGTAATGCTGTGTATAATCACAGTAATTGTATGTGTATAATCTAAATGGGCTGCATGACTTTTGTGGTTTCTGCAGCAGTGAACATGTATATCTTTGAAATTAGACAATAAGAAAGCTCCACTCCACATATATCCTTAACAAGCCAAGTCAACACACTGCAAGAAGTTAAAATTAATTTCCCACTTCTCCAGACAGTCTATTCATACTTACTTCTTTGTTTCCACACTGTGCATTTACAAAGCTCTCTCATACTATAAAAAATGGTGGGAAAGATCACGCCACAGTTAAAATGTGAGGAAGCTCTACTGCAGTGAGGGTAGTGGATTTACTATACAGCGTTTCCTGCCATTGAAATCGCAAGATAGGCCTGTCTCACTTTACAAACACAGGATGTGATCTGCAGCCAACAGGCAGAATAAACAATGCAAAGGTTGAGTCAGAGGCTGAAGATGACAAGAAATGCACAATGCTTGTTACATGTATGAAAAATGATGCATGAAAATTTTGGCTTGTTTTTTTATTTCACTGTAGCCAGGAACTTTCCTATTGGTCAGTCTTGATTTTTTGCTTAAATTATCTGCCTGACTGAAAAATGACACCTTTGAAGGGCTGAAGGTCTTTCATGTCATGATTTCTTGGTGTGAAATGACAAATGTAAATTTGTAATAAATGTTGGTTTACATTTTGTATTCCACAGTGTGTGGCCTCTCTCTGAACACATACACTTACACTGTTAGAAATAAAGGTTCTGTGCGGGTACATTTTTCATTCATCAAGGTACAAATAGTGTAAATATACCCTCAAAGGTACAACAGTGATTTTAAGGTCCAATTTTGTACCTTAAATAAGTTTTTTCCCAGGTGAAAAGTATGTATTTGTAAGCTTTTTAATAACCTAATGTTTTAAACCAGAACAATAAAATAAAAAGCCTGAAGACAAGACAGGGTGTGTGGAGCCAATACAACTTAGAAAATATACTTTCAATGGATTATGGTACAATTACGTTCCCTGACTAAAGGTAATGAGACGTACCCCTGAGGGTACCACCCCAGTGAGAAAAAAGATACTGCCCCAGTGACAGTTTTGTACCTTTATTTCTGAGAGTGTATAGAGTATACATCTGGCCTCATAATATAATAATAAACATGATATAAAATGTTTCATTGCTGTCCAAAAAAATGCAGGTATCTCGAAAATGGCAACTTTATAAGAGAAGGCAAACATGTTCTTTACTTTAATTTCATGTAAAGAAATTTGATTACAAGCAGTTTTGGTTCCTTTCTTGGGCCTTTAATCTTAAAAATTTGACAATGTAAAGAGCAGCTGGTATTTTCCAATTATGTAAAAAAAATGAAATGGTTTGTTCTAACAGAGACAATATGGTATTGTCCTGTACATGGCATAAAATATGTATTAAATGATATATTACTGGCAGTTCAGTGACTATACCAATAACAATCATCACATATATTGTAGGATATTTGTATATAGGCTTCCTGTATCCTTATTTGTTCATTCACTCTAATTGCACACGTTCAGTGTTGAATAAGATTAACTCAAGGGGATTTGTTTGTGCACTCTAAGACAAAACTTCTTGGTTATTTTTACATTCAGGTAAACTGATTGCGGCTGCAGTATACTGGAGGCAGCCTCTCGCCCCCTCGTTTGTTTTCTACAGCCATAGGCTGAGACGTCTGCAACAGGGGTCCAAACAGGGTGGCCGGGACAATTGTTTGTTGTGCGTCAAGACAGGAACTTGCTCTGGGGCAGAGACAAAGAAGCCCTCTGCTAATTCTTACTCCCGCTTAGGTTTCTCGACCAAACAGGATGCGGCTGTTTGTTCCAGGCGAAGTGACTGCTTGAACAAACTGTTCTGTTGGGTTATAGAGCTGAGAAAAAACTTTCTCAGCTTGGACTGAGAACATGAACTGATTGTTTCTATATCTATACAGCTAGACGGATAAAAAAGAAGAAAGGGCGTGCAGGACGATGCGCGCGCTGCTCCTCGCGCTCTCCGCGCTTGTGGCGGCGTGGCGGGTGGCGGGCCAGGCGGCCATCTGGTGCACGGAGCGAGCCTGCTTCACCCTGCACAACAAGAGGACGCCGTTCGAGGCGGCTCAGACGGACTGCTACACAAACGGCGGCTACCTGCTTACGATGAGAGACGAGAAGGAGGCGGAGGACGCGAGGGCCTTGCTCGAGCTGGCCAACGATGCTGGGTTTTTCGCGAGCGGCGAAGAGAGGCTGTGGATCGGCCTGAAGCTTAATAAGAGCCGTTGCGTGCTGGACGGAGAACCTCTGCGCGGTTTCCGCTGGGTGCCGGACACGGCGGACTCAGGCACTTTCGCCAACTGGGGCCGCAAGCCGCGTAGCACATGCACGGAGGAGCGCTGCGTTTCGCTGCGCCCCGCCGCCGCCGGCTCTGCGCGCCTCCATTGGATAGACGGCTCGTGCAGGCAGGGCGCGCTCTACGCCTGCCGCTACCAGTTCAAGGGCATGTGCGAGCCGCTAACGCTCGCGGGACCCGGGGAGGTCACCTACACCGTCCATTTCTTGAACGCGCCTCTAAATCAGAGCGTGAGCAAGCTGCCCCACTCCACGCAGGCCTACATCAGCTGCGCGAGCTCCGGGGAAGAACATCACACGATATGCAGCGAAGCAGCCGCGGGAGGGGGCTTCGCTTGGTCGCCTGCGAAACTTTTCTGCGCGTCGGGCGAGCACAGTTGCGCGGTCCAAAACGGAGGCTGCAGCCACTTTTGCTCGGATGACCAAGGTGGCGGTGTACGCTGCGCGTGCAAGGAGGGCTACGACTTGGGCAAGGACGAGTTCACGTGCATTCCGAAGAACGCGTGCCAGGCCGCGCCCTGTGCGCACAAGTGCGTGGTCGAGCAAGACAGTTTCGTGTGCGCGTGCAGAAAAGGCTATCGGCTCGCGCAGAATAGGTCTGGGTGCCTGGACGAGGATGAATGTGAACAGGGCGTTTGCGGCGGCCACACGTGCCACAACAACCCGGGCAGTTACGAGTGCGAGTGTAAGAAAGGGTTCAGAAAGGACGCCACGGGCGCGTGCCAGGATATCGACGAGTGCGCGGAGAGCGCGTGCAGAGAGCCCGCCGGGTGCCTCAACTCGCAGGGCTCGTTCGCGTGCTACTGCTCCGTGGGCTTCCGGCAGGTAGAAAGCGGGGAGTGTGTGGATGTTGATGAGTGTTTCAGCCGGCCGTGTGAGGATATCTGCACGAACACGCAGGGCAGCTACAGGTGCTCTTGTCGCGCGAACTTCCGACTGGCTGATAACAACATCAGCTGTGTCCAGGTTATCGAACCGAGCCCTCACACTACAGCTTCAAATGACCCGGTAAATGAAGCACTTGATCGGTCAACCGTAACTACCACGGTCACTCCGCTGTTCAGCAGCGAGAGCAGCAGTACTGGATCAGGGGACACTGAGCGCATTGCGAGCTCGGCCAGGTCGCTGGTGCTGGTGTGGGTGCTGTGCTCGGTTATTCCTCTACTGCTTCTAGTCGCGCTCACGACTGTCATCGCCGTCCTTCGCTGTAATCGCTCGCGCAAAGCCGCGAAGAAGAAAAGCGCCACCGCGGACAGTTACTGCTGGGTCTCCTCCGGCTTCCAGGTTCAGCCAGACACTCAACCGCGCTGAGTTCCTTAAAGGGGAATACCACCGATTTTTCAAAGCGTCTCCATAATTCAGTCGTTGAGATGAGAAAGTCATTCAGAGTGGTTTGGTGTGATTCACTGATTCATGATTCATTGTAGAGAAATTCACTGATTCATGATTCAGTGTAGAGAGTACTCAGATTTCTTTACAGTGGTGGTCATAGCAACCAGGGGTCACGATGTCCACAACACAAATGTAGCCATTTTATTGACAATCCAAAATGACCAGTGAACCTGCAGTTTTTTATACACTATTAAAAAGATGGTTCTTCAAGGGTTCTTTAATAAAGACAATGATTCTATATAGAACCCTAAGAACCATTTGCATTCTTAAAGGGTTCTTTGCATGGGGAAATCGTTCTTCAGATTGATGGAGGATGTGTTGTATATGGTTCTATGTAGAACCTTTTTGAAAAGAGTTCTGAATAGCACCACAAAGGTTCTTCTGTTGTTACAAGCTCAACATCGTAACAATAGCAGAACCCTTTTTGGTGCTATGTAGAGCCGTTTTCTTTACTAAAGGACCCTTGAAGAACCTTCTTTCTTAAGAGTGTATGTAATGTTGATAATAGTAAAATAATGGAAAATCTTAAAAGACCAGTTTCCTTTGGGGACTATTTTGCCTTAGAACACCCTGCATAAACTTCTGCACCATGAATGAATCTCAAAAGTTTATCGTAAAACAGTGGCATCTGGAAACATTTAATTTTCATTTTATGTAATAACTTTCTGAGAGGAATAATTTAGAGGCATTAAACGCTTTGGATGTCTAGTTCCTATCACCACCACTGTGAACACTTCTGACTCAGGAACCTCTCTAAAATGAAGCATTTCACACCAAACCACTCTGAAAGACTTCGTTTACATCTCAATGACTAAATTATGTGGAACTTTTGAAAAATTGGAATTCCCATTTAATCCTCTAAAATGAAAGGTTCCCAAATGGTTCTCGGCCTGGATGTACGATTTAATACTGTTAACCTTTACAGTATGTGGAGTTCTTTAATAACGTTTTCACACACATCTCAATGTCAAAAAGTGACTGAAAACGTATACTGAAAGGGCATTTTTAGGGACCAAAACTGGTTCTTCTATGGCATTGCTTCAAAGAACCTCTTTTAAACCCTTTATTTTTAAGACTATTGTTATTGTTATTGTTAATGTTATTGTTGTTACAATGTTATATATTTGACTACTGATGTAAATAAATCTTTTTCTACATTACCAGTAAGCCTTGCTTCAATTCCTTACTTGAAAACCTTCATTGTCCATTGTTTTTGTTTTCTCAAACAACACATTTTCACTAGATATTGTTTATTTTTTTTCAAATGGTTGTGTTTTTTTGTGAAATGTGTGCTTCTAATGTGCAGTAAGTCCTATAAGCATCCTTGTTAATATCTAAGTTCTGAATACTTCATTGTTTTTTGTTTTTTTTTGTTCTTTTTTTCTGGAGGACTGCAATTTGAACTAATTCAGTAAAATAGTCCTTTAACATTTATAAAAGTATAAACTGGGACTATGTCCACCTGGATTAGCTGTAACAAATGCATTACATGAATAAATGAAATAAAATACAGATATTTTTGTGCACTGACACATTGTCCTCTAAGCATTCTACTCTTCTGGATTACAATAAATATTTACATGAAAAACTGGTTTGAAATATCAAGCAATTCTAAACATCTGTCTGAAGATGATATTTTTTCCGAACATGCCTGCTGATACTGATATAATTTTGATTTCACATCACATCATGCATCCCTAATAAAAACAGTTCAACAAGGTCATGTCCTCAGGTAACTGTGCAAATAATGTGTTCACCAAAATCATTATTTAATTATTAGCTTGATGGTTAAATCAATTTTATATTTTAGCCTTGAATGTAGTATTCTGGTTGTGCTAGCTTTAAATAACTGTGCACATTGCCCATGCCCCAAAATATTTTTTTTTTTAAACAGACAATTGGAACAACATATGTTTTATAAGAAAATATATTGACCTATTTACCTCAATGGAGATGTGTATGTGGTTTGAATGGGTTGAGAGATGTTTTGGGGATGCATTTACAGAAAAGATTCAGGTGACTATTGACTTCTAATGTTTGTTAGCACCGTTGGCCTCATAGCTCCAGCACTAAAATATAAAGCAAAATTTGGACACCAAACATGTCTCAGTGACTACATCTGGGGTGAGTGGAAATTGCGTAAATTTAAAGTTTCTGGTGATTCATAGCACTGCACAGTTTCAATACTTCCTGCTCCAACACACCTGATTCAGCTTAAGAATGGCTCCATAATAAGCTGATGAGCTGGATCAGGTGTGTTAAATCAAGGAACACCATGCAGTGCTGTGGATTGCCAGAAGCAGGATTTAGAAATCCTGACATACAGTGTCAGAAGATTCTGCATCACAGCTAGGCTAGAACCTAGACACCACTGTCCCACTTGACAGCAGAACAAATCACCCTGATGATATTTATTTGAAAACATATAATAGCCTCCTGTGGCCATATTGTTATTTTGTTTAAAGGCCACTGTAGCACAATACAACAAAATCTGTAGAATCATTGTGATTGTGGATAAAACTAAAGCTAATAATGTTAATAATAGGAATTGTATTGAAATATACTTGAATGTTTAGTTTAAATCAACCCACAGTTTATATACTCTTTTCAAGTATCATAGCCCAATGCAATTATCATAAGCCAGAATGGCCACTTCATCAGTATTATCTGCTCTATATCAAATAGGCTGTTAAACCTGAAATTGTAAGTGGTAATCTACACAACTGTGGCACCACTTTCGTACTCATATTTCAGTTGGTTGATGGTAAGTAGCCTTTATGCTGTGAACATTTGCCAGTGGATTCTTTCATAATTTCGTTAATGATCTGTTTTTAAAACACAGTAGGTCTTAGGATATTGTTGTGAATGTAAATGTTGTCACTGTTCAAAAAAATCTCCATTTTTGTCCATTTTTCATTTTCTGGCATAATATGAAAAAATCAGCTGCGCTTTGCATTGTGTGACAAATTAGTGATGACTGGACCAATAGAAATGTTTCAAACTTGCTTGAAATAAAATCTCTTCATATGAACTTACATTCCAAGTAAAAATTGTTTTTGCCCTCTCCAGTAAAGCTGTCATTTATTTAAAGCTACAGTGTGGGATGCAATGCAGCCTCCTCCTTAAATTGCTCATATCATGAATCATTCAGCACAATCCTGACAGCACTGGCGTCACTGACTTAATAGCCCTTCCTGGAAAGTCTAGGTGTACCAACATTCTTTAAAAAAAAAGAAAAAGGGAAACAATATACCAAATTAGCACTTTGGTGCCATAAAAGAGCCCCTTTTGGTCCTCTACAAAGTTTCAACTGAGTACTTTAAAGAACCATCCATTGAAACTATCTTTTTAAGAACCATCCTACATTCTAAAAAGAAGAAGAAGAAGAAGAAGAAAGAAAGAAAGAGAAAAGAAAGAACGAAAGAAAGAAAGGCACCAAAAAGTGGTTTTTGGAGAGGTAGAATACAATAACACCATTTGGTTCCTTTTTTAAAGAACAGATCTATTGATTAAAGAAAAGATCTATTGAAAAAAAATTTTGAAGAACCATCCTACATTCTTTAAAATAAGAAGAAATAAATAAATAAGGTACCAAAAATGTATTTGTAGTGATGCTCTAATATAACACCTTTTGATTCCCTAAAACGTTTTTTCATTGTTTTTTTTTTTTAAAAAAACATCTACTGAAAGGTTCTTTAATGAAAAGTAGTTCTTCTATAGCTTTACTACCAATCATTTGTGGCACTTTAACTTTTAAGAGCGTTATAAAATTTCCACGCTGTTTATTCTTTATCAACAATTGTAAATGTTTGTTAAAAAAGTACATGTATACTTTTTATAGCTTTATTTTATTCTTATATTACTTATGTTGTCTTGCACTGTATGTATTAATTTTATTATTTTATGTATTTCCCACTATGGAAATTGTTTACTGTGTATTTTATCTCATTTAAAAAAAACAACAAAAAACTATAAAACATATATTTAAACATCCAATAGCACCTGCTGTTCCATTAAAACTCGGTTACGCATGAAAGAGGCTGTCACAGCTTACACAGAGCATAGACTCAGTCAGTTGACTGACTTCTGAATAAAGCAGTGGTGCTAAAAAGGGTAGACTGTAAAAGGTATACCAGTTTCTAAGGTAAAGCTGGAGAACAAGTGGCTCCTACAATTAAAGATTTAAAAGTGACCACATGAGAATATAACAAAAGTAATGAGAGTTTCAACCCATTTCACAGACGCCTTATTGTGTTCAGGGTGACACACATTCTGTCTTTAACTGGACACATCAGTGTGTTTAGTTGGAGACACACATTTTGAGTTACTCTTAACCAGTGGCGTCTCTGGCACAGAAAGCCTGGAGCACAAAAAAATCTGTAGGGGCAAGAGCCGACTCATCAATAAAACTACACACAAACCTGATCCAAACACAAAGGCACCCTATCAATGAAATCACAAATTCACAACTTAACGTAACGTGATGCAGGAGTTGCAGTCAGGAATATAAGTGACATGATAACGACTTTAGATCTCTCAAAACCTTGTTTTACAGCACTGCATTACAAATCCAATCCAAAGTTATCTAGCTAGCAGTGTACAATCATTGTGGTCTGCAACTACATATCCGAAGCAACATATCAGAGCAGGGAAACGCATTGCTTTCCGGCCATCAGGAATAACATGACTTGTAATAATGCAAAAACAACTGACCAGTGACGTTCACTGCTTGAAAAGAAAAGATGACAATCTTTCATCTTGGCAAACTCGTCAAAAACTTTTCTCTCAAAGTCCACCAATCCATGAATGAATTCAAGTGATAGCATATCAAGTGCATAAAAGAGCAGGCAAGGAAAGCAGAAGAGTGATTTTAACTACACTCGCATTTAGCCATGTTTTTCTCTTGAACCTCTCTGGATTTAAGGAGCAGTTTTTGTCCTTTCAAGACTGAATGATGTTGAAATCCTCTGGCTGGTGTGTCCCAAACGTTTAATATCTAGTTTCTGCTCTAATGGCAGGGTACCAAATTTAACTCTTATTGCATTTTCGACTTGACTCATTATATTGCCTTGCTATTTTGAGTGGCTACTACAACTGATGAGGAAAAATGGCTGGCTGCGTAGCAAGGCCCACATCATAAATGACGGCCCCTAATGTAGAGACACCCCT